TCGGTGTCGAGGACTGCAGTTATTTGCCTCGGTGTCGCGAGGCTGATGCTCGTCAGTGTGTCGACTGGAGCCCTCGGGGCAACTTCCAGAGGTTCTTCGAGATACTGTATTTTAAACGAAAACGAGAAGAAGAAAAAAAAAAGGATATTGTATATTGGTGTTGGTGATGAGTTCTGGTTTAGCTGAAGTCTCGAAATATTTAATTTTTTTTTTTGGAGTGTTTTGAGATTACTAACGAGTTATTTTTCGTATAGAACCCAAATGGAAGCGTTGGAGAGGCATTTCAAAACTTTTTCCTGCGTTCTTTTTTTTACAGTACTGTATTTTCAAAGTGCTCGAAAAATCTTGGTGAACGTAAATTGTAATTTTAATGCTTGAAATGGTTTAGATTAGGTTCAGTTTGTTGACTGGAGCCTTCGGGGCAACTTCCGGAGTTTCTTCAAAAACGAGAATAAGAATTAAAAAAAATGACTGGTGTTAAAGTGGGGTTCTGCTTAAGCTGAAGTCTCGAAATGCTTAAATTATATTTTCGGAGTGTTTTGAGATTACTGACGAGTTATTTTTCGTATAGAACCCAAATGGAAACGTTAGAAAGGCATTTCAAAATATTTTTGAGTTATTTTTTACAGTACAGTATTTTCAAAGTGCTCGAAAAATCTTGGGTGAACGTAAATTGTAATTTTAATCCTTGAAATGGTTTAGATTAGGTTCAGTTTGTTGACTGGGGCCCTCGGGGCAACTTCCAGAGTTTCTTTGAAGTACCGTATTTAAAAAAATTGATAATAAGAATTTAAAAAAAGGACTGGTGTAGGTGATGAGTTCTGCTTTAGCTGAAGTCTCGAAATATTTATATTATATCTTTGGGAGTGTTTTGAGATCACTGACGAGTTATTTTTCGCATAGAACCCAAATGGAAGCGTTAGGAAGGCATTTCAAAATTTTTTCCTGCGTTCTTTTTTTACAGTATTTTCAAAGTGCTCGAAAAATCTTGGGTGAACGTAAATTGTAATTTTAATGCTTGAAATGGTTTAGATTAGGTTCAGTATGTTGACTGCAGCCCTCGGGGCAACTTCCAGAGTTTTTTTAATACTGTATTTTAAACAAAACCAGAATACGAATTTTAAAAAAATACCTGGTGTTAGTGATGGGTTCTGCTTAAGCTGAAGTCTCGAAATATAAAAAAAATTTTTGGGAGTGTTTTGAGATTACTGACGAGTTATTTTTCGTATAGAACCCAAATGGAACCGTTAGAAAGGCATTTCAACTTTTTTTCTTGCGTTTTTTTTTTAATTTTCAAAGTGCTCGAAAAATCTTGGGTGAAAGTAAATAATCATTTTAATGCTTGAAATGGTTTTGATTAGCTTCAGTATGTTGACTGCAGCCCTCGGGGCAACTTCCAGAGCTTCTTTGAAGTACCGTATTTTAAACAAAAACGAGAAGAATAATTTTAAAAACAAGGACTGATGTGTTGGTGATTAGTTCTGCTTTAAGTGAAGTCTCGAAATATTTAAATTATATTTTTGGGAGTGTTTTGAGATTATTAACGAGGTTCTTTTCAGATTGAACCCGAATGGAATCGTTCGAAAGGGATTTAAAATATTTATTCTGCGTTATTTTTTTATTATTGAAGTGCTCGAAAAATCTTGAGTGAGCGTAAATTATTATTTTAATGCTTGAAATGGTTGAGATTAGGTTCAGTATGTTGACTGAAGCCCTCGGGGCAACTTCCAAAAGTTCTAGGCATTTTGAAATATTTTAACCAAGGATACAAATATTAAAAAAGGTTATCTATATATGTGTTATCGATATTTTTTTTTTAGCTGGAGTCTTGAAATGTTTTGGATACATTTTGGAGAGTGTTCCCAAATTTTTTATTCAATTTTTTGCCATCGAACCCGAATAAAAGCGTTGGAAAGGCATTTTAAAAATGCACCTCATCTTCGAAAGTGCTCTAAATTTTTTTTAACGTTAATTATCATTTTATTATTTAGATTGGTTTTGTTTCGCTTCAGTGTTTCGAATGGGACCCTCGGGGCAATACTTCCGGAAATTTCTGCTCTTCAAAATAGTTTTTTAAACGTCGAGAAAGAAGGACTTTAATGGTGCAACCTGTGAGTTATTTTCAGCCGAAGACTTGAAATATCTTGACAAGATTTTCATCAGTGTTCTGAATATTTATATTTTCGATGAGGCGAAATGAAAGACATTTTGAAAATGTTTTTCGGCTTTTGAGTTACCATCCTGAGGGTTTAAATTGTAATCATCGCTCTCAATTTTTAGTATGGGTTTTGATTCTCTTCTGTGTGACAATTTTATTCAAATAAGCAACTTTCAGGTTCGAGAAGTTCAAATACAGTACTTCGACAAAGAATGTGAAAATTAGAAAAGTTTTTAAAGATGTCAATGGTAAATTATATTTGTCTAAACACTCTGAAGTCATAAAATATTCTAGGTAGATTTTTGAGATTGTTGTGATAATTTATATGGTTTTTTAGTTTATCTTTTTTAATAGTTCAGGATCATTATGAGGACAGTTAAACAATGGAATCTGTGTTTACTTATTTTTCGAATTTCAAATTTAGTTCTTTCTCAAGTTCTCTTCCAAAGTTTTGTTTCTGTGATGTTTCATTAGACAAGTGTTGTAAAAATATAACGCTAATAACGGAGATATCTTGCAGAATTATTCGTATCACCTTTCAAAATTGCAGAATATCTTCTCAAAGTAATTTTGCATCAAGGAAAAATGAAAATTTGGAAAAAAGTGATAAAACTCCATTCATCATTAAACTTCAAATTTATTAAAATGTCAGCAGTCTCCATTTTTTTCCTTTTTAATACCCCTTTACGAGATTCTTGCGTATCGTTGTTCATGTGAGAAATTTGAATTTTTTTTTTACCTAAACATAGAGGAAAAATTTGAGCTTAACAAAATATTTTTCATTATCCAGGTTTTTGTTCGCAATAATGCTCGAGGGGAAGATGCGGCTTTTCTTGTGCATGTTAGCGGTGAGCGCTGTGGGAGCGACATCTACTGAGAAGAGGCATTCCGGAGAAGACAACGACATCTATATCGACGATCACGCGAGTCTCGTCCGTTCTGGTCCAGCAGTAAGTCAATAATTTCCAGTTTTGCAAATACGTTATGACTGAGCTTGAGTATTTTCGGTTTTGGTTTCACGCACGCAGACTCTGGAACTAGTGTTACAGCAAAGCATTTTCAGAGTTTAAAGGTTTTAATTTAGTCAAAATTTGGAAAATTAAGTTTTACCTCATTTTCGCGTATTTTTTTTTAAGTCGGCTGAGCACTAGCACTATTTTTGTGTGGGTCTGAATTTCTGCACATTTCATTTAAAATTCCCTCGGCCCTGGCGTGGAAACAGTTTTTGCGCTCAATAAAAGTTTTCTATACTTTGTATTTCCCCGTATTTAAATTTTTACAGTTTTGTTCTGAGAGGTTTTTTTGAGGTACAGTAGTAAAAAAATAGCTTAAAATCTATAAATGTTTTATTTGTGCAAAAAGGATTTTTGAACACTGGAAAAATACAAATACTGTATCATGTAGAGTTTGTTGTTAAATAAATTATTTTCCAGTAAAAACGAAGTTAACCAGTAGAAAAAATGTATGTATCATTTTTTTTTACAAAAGCAGCTAATTTCAATTTTAAGGTAAAATTTTCAATTTTTAAAAATGTATCTATCGTTTTTTTTACAAAGGCAGCTAATTTCAATTTTAAGGTATTCCTTAAATTCTTAGAACAATAAGCAATGCTTCAGAATTGTTTCCCTCGCTGAGAGAAGAAAAAGTAGGGCACCATTTTTATTTTTAAATGTGAAAACGTTTATAAAATTTATTCATGAAAACTAAACTATTTCAGGAATGTGTCAATAAACAATTTTGAAAACTATTTCAGAAAATTGTGGTGAAGTCTTTTCAACAAACAAACGAAATTGTTTATTGCTGAAACCTTCGTATTTTTAATTTTACCAGCAAAAAAAAAAGTATTGATTGGTTCAGTATCTGAGAAAATAATTACAAGAGTAACTATGGAAAATCGGGATGAAAATAATTTTTGCACTGATGACATTTTACTGTACAGTACTGTAACAAGATTTTTTTTTCGACTGCGTCTATCGATTCTTTGAACAGGACCTTCAGGAAATATTGCCAGGATAAAAAATGCGTTATGGCTGCATTTTTCGTGAACGGAATAATCAACTGCATATTTTTAAAATCAGAATTCTGAAGAATACGCTGATGGACCTTCGCAATACGCCATCGCTTACGAGCCCCCGAGGTACAACTACAACTGGGCAGTGAACGACGACTATTCCAGCAACTACCAGCAAGTGGAAGAGGCCCGGGACGGGGAGCGAACCCACGGGTCCTACCGGGTGCTGCAACCCGACGGGGTTTACAGGACTGTGGTCTACAACGTCGACGGGGACCAGGGTTTCAACGCGGATGTCCGCTATCAAAGGGACTCTCATCACAACAGGGCTAAAGCCTATCGCCAAGAGTATGAAGAACAAAGTGGTTCCGAAGAAGCGCACGAAGGGGAAGGTTTGTCCAATTACATTTTTTTTTTTTCATAAATTGTAATTCGATTTTTCCTGAATTTGTATGATGTTTTTTAAATATATATATATACTGTACTATACTTATTATATTCCTGCTTTATGTGTGGAAATTTCAAAGTTTTCGGAAGGAAAATACTGTACTCGAAACGATTCGCGCAGAAAATATAAAATGCAGAAATCACTACCAAGAGTAAATCTAATTCCGTTTCAAATTAATACGAATTTTATCTTCATTGTTGCTTTTTTAAAATTATAATGCATTGTGTCTGATTGTGTTTTTTAAATCATTTGACACAGTCTGATCTTGACAAAGAATTATAGATTAAGCGATATTTCAAAATTTTTGAAATTAAATAATGAGAAATAATTTTCAATTGAAATTTTGTTGCCTGAAGGGGTTCACTTTGAGATATTTTGTGGACAAACGAATTGCGCGATTTCTTGAAGACAAATTATGGAAAACCAGTTTTCAAAGCCAAAGTTTCACCTAGATTTAATCTCTTTGTAACAAACTTGAATTTGGACTCAAATATTTTTCTCACATTGAGATTTCCCTAAGGATACCTTTTTCAAAAATTCGACTTTATATCTCCAAGCCTGTTTTATTTTTTATGATTAGCTGAATCTGATTATTTTATTGTGAAATAAAGTTTCCAAGCATCATAACAAATTATATCTGCAGAATAATATTCAGTGACCAAGTTTTTGAGCGAAAATACAATTTTCTTTCAGAAGTGTATAGTTTTGAATCCATTTATTGATTCCCTCTGTTGCTTCATTTTGAATATTACAGTATTTTGAATCAGATTTTTTGCGCATTTTGTTGACTTTTTTGATAGAAACAACTTTGAGCAAAATTCAAACATTATAATACAGTACCTGAAATTGAACCTGCAAAAATCACTACAAAATTTATCTGTTTTTTTAATCGATAAATCCTTATTGGAAGAATTTCTAGACAATTTTTCTGTACTGCGTTTCTGAGAAAATTTTGTTGACATAAAAAATGTGTCAAAGTGGAATTTTTTCTGTATTTAAATGTCCCTCCTAACGGTCCTCGTAACAAAGGGTTCGACAGTGGGACGGTAAACGGCGAAAGAGGTTGAGAGGTCGACCGTTTCTTGTGTTGAAACGTCTGATGAAAGGTAGGAACGGTCCTAGTGCCAGATCTGTCAGCTTCTTCCCTTCTTTTGTCCCTGCGGAAGACCCTAACATAGAATACTTCACTATTGATGATGCTGTTGCCAAGCCAGAAACATCTGTGCCATCCAGCAAGGATGCTGATGAACCAGTTCTTGGCCAAGAAGAAACCACAGAAGAAGATGATGTGAGGGAAAAGGACAGTGACAAGGATGATGTTGAAGTTGATTCAGATGATGATTCAGATGAGAATGAAATCAAAATCATAGAATTGGATGGACCCCCAGAGGGATACAAGAGCAACAACAACAACAACAACAACAATAAGAGACCAGTGGTCATCAAGCGCGTTGTTCCTTTGAGCCCATCCCTGTTCCAGTTTTACAAAGAAAAGTTGCCTGTGCTTGACTTCAGGAGTTTGCAATTTGGTCCAGCTGTGGCCCAACAACTGCAACAGGCCCAGGTTGAGCAACAGTCAGGTGCACCAAAGATCAAGCGACAAAATCAGGCTGTTGTGACACAGGGAAGGAACAGGTTCAACAGGGACGTTTTGCCTGTGCAAGGAGTCCCTGGTTTCCCACAATTTGAGGCACAACAACCACAACAACAACAGCAACAAGTGCCTCAATTTGCTCTGCAACAGCAGCAATTCCAACTGCTTCAACAGCAGCTGAGACAACAGCAACGGTTCCCACAATTGCAGCAAGGTCCTTTCAGGGTCCCACCTCAAGTTGCTGCTCAGTTCAGACAACCCTTTGGAGTCCCTTTCAACCCACAGGTTCGTCCAGTGACCCCAGCAAAGAGTGAGAAGAATGACAAGAATGAGAAGACTGAAAGTGTGAACTCAATTTCTGAGAATGACGAACAAATTGAGGTGAAGACTGTGGACTCTATCCAAGAGGTAATCAAGGCAATAAGGGAACAAGAAGAGAAGGAGGCTGCTGAAGAAGCTGCCAATCCACCATCTTTCACTCAGCAGCAATTGGCATTGTTCAGACCTGGTGCCAACCAGCCTGCCTTTGGATTCAATCCTTTCCTACAACAGCCACAAGTTTTGCCTCAAGTTAATTTCAGGAACCCTGCAAACTTTCCATCTCAGTTTGCGGCAAATGCTGCCTTTATAGGACAACAACAACAACAGCAACAACAGGTGCAACAACAACGACAGCAACAACAGCAGCAGCAGCAAATTCAGCAACAACAACAACAGCAGCAGCAGCAAATTCAGCAACAGCTGACCCAAGCCCTGCTGAGACAACAAGTGCAGCCCACCAGAAATCGCCGACCTGCTGCTGTCAGTGCTGTTACCCAAAGACCTGTAAGGTCTCAAAACCGTCCAAGGTAAGAAAACTATTCTTGTGGGAAATTGAAATTCATTCAATATATATTCACAGTGCCTAATTTGTGCAATTGAAGTTATTGAAAATAACTAATAATACTGAATAATACTAATATTGAAAATATTAGAGGGCCAGTTTCTTTATTCAAAAGGAATAGCCGCATAATGACTCAGAAGTTCTGAAAGTCTTCCAGCTTGCGTTTTGCCTTGTCACTTTTCCATTTGCTTGCCACTTCTAGGTCTGCTTGTGTCCTTTGTGCTGCCAAATTGAGCGTTTGTAGCAGTAGCAAGATCGCATTTCAAGAAAATGTTCTTGGCAATTGTTATTCTCCAATGTATCTGCTTTGAATTGGGAATGCCTGGTGGATATAGGTCTAGAAATCAGCAGATGAAGAATTCCTTGATGTCCATGCATTTTTAAAGGCGGCGAATTTCGAGCTTGAATCAAATGCTGAAATTGTTCTCTTTTCCCACCATCTGTAGACCGAATGGAAACCAGCGTCCGGTACGACAGACCTCGTCTTCATTCCCTCTCAACCTGTCGGCGATTCGGAATCTGTTCAACCGCCAATCGTCAAACTCGGCCGTGAGAGCCCAGAGATCAGCACCAACTGTCCAAAGTTTACTGCCAAAGGCGACGTTGGATGAGCAATTGGCCGCTCTTGAAATCCCCAGCAAACAATTGCCACTCCAGAGGGCGCGCGGCAGGAACGTGCGAACTGTCGCTTCACTCCTAGAGGGCACTAATAACAACAAGCCCTCCCCCAGTCGGCGCCACCTGGTGGCTCTTTGAGGCTTGATGGGTTCTTGGAGTCGAGGGTTTCACTAAACCTGAGAATTCCTCATTTTTTCAATTGATAGAGCTTGTTTTTTCCCTCATTTTGGAACATTGGATCGAAGTGTCATGAGTTAAGGTGATGAAGTGTAAAAGAAGTTACCAATGAAGATCCTGTGCCCGCGTTGTTGTTGAAAATTCTGTTCGAAGTTGCGATGTTTTTTTTGTTTTTGGAAATGAAATCTGGTTGGAATACTCGTGAAGTTTTTTTAAAAAGTTAATCTCAGTCTTGTTTTGGTTCTTTTAGCTAAGTGTGTATTTGTTCTGTAAATGTGCCGTTCATCAATGTGACGGTTTCTCGCTATTCGGTCTGATACTTCGGAGCATAGGTATAGATTATCACGCTGACGCAAGAACTCAACGTCAGCACCGCTTGTGCAGCCAGTGAGATAAATACAGTGTTCTAAGTATGGATATGGATTTACTCTGATGGAGACTCAATCTGTCAAATTTTCAAAGATTTCTTGCGTGAGAATGCATTTGAAACTTGGACGCTATGTTCGAGTGAATGAATTACTGTACATCCTCCACCGTGAGAGGAGTTGCTTTTAGTCTACTCACAGAATTTATCGCGATGGGTTAACTAATGTAAACTAGCGCCCGAAAACGTTCGGAATACCGGTAGATTTTCCGCGATTGCGAGTCTTACAGTGAGATGTATTTTGGGAAGTTGTAGATTCACGTTGTTTTCAGCCAGTGTGATCTTAAATTTTCAAGTGAAATTTTGTTTCAGTCGTTTCGCGCATTTCGGAGATGGCGACAGTGGAGGAGTTATTATTAAAGGCGACGGAGAAATATCCCAGTACTATCGTTGAGAAGCAGCTGGAACTATCGTATGATGTTGGAAACCTTGCAGCCGTTGATCCGAATCCAATCGAATTAAAGGATTTCAGGCAAGTCATGAGACGCTATTGTTTTCTTGAAGTGCGTTCGCTTTCAAATCTGCATTGTAAAGTCCTGTGGAACGTCACGGTCTTCTGTTGTTGACAAAACTTCCAGAGCCGACCCAGATGTGTTCTTGCGGAATATCGCCCGCGATAACATCCAACTCTTGGTTAATAAAATCTGGGAGTACCCGACCGAGACGGATGAAAACGAGTTGGTGCTCTTGAAGCTTCCTGAAGGAACCTCCATCATCCCAAGATTCCAACCCATTCCGAAGCCGAAAGCTCCTACGAAATGGGAGAAATATGCCAAAGAAAAGGGTATTCAGAAGAGAAAGAAGGCCAAGTTGGTGTGGGACGAGGAGTTGAAGGTTTGTTTACTTCGCTTGTTTCCAACTCTTCCCGTTACCTGATTTTTCAAAGCCTTCCGTTCATTGAAAACAGCGAATTCCGATTTTCGGTTCTGATTCCCAAAACTGTGAAGACTAATTGTTCGACGAAGTCCAGATGTTATTCGCGAAATGCTTCTTCGCAACTTATGATAAATGTTCTAATTTTTGAAAACATGCTTTCATATTTTGAAAATTTTTCGTTGGGTGCTTCCTCCGTGCCATCAGATGAGCATTTTGTGTTAGTCGACTATTAAGACGCATGGAACCTTGCCGATTAATTCTTTTCTTGACATTTTGCAGAAATGGCTTCCCAGATTTGGTTACAAGAAGGTTGCTGCCGATAAAGAGAAAAACTGGGTTAGGGAAATTCCAGTCAATGTGGATCCATTGCAAGACCAGTTCTCTAAAGCCAAGGAGAACAAGAAAGAACGCATTGCGAAGAACGAGCTTCAACGTTTGCGGAACATCGCGAAAGCAAACAAGATCGATCTTCCTTCAGTTGGTGTCACTCCGGTTCCTGATCTGAGCAGCAACGAACGCCGGGATCTCTCTAGTGTATGAATAATTGAATTATCTATCCATTTTCACGAAATGAACCACTTTTGCTCGCTTCTTTTTAGTTGAAGAAGTCGATTCCGGTTGTGCGAACAGCCAATGCATCTGTAGGCGTTTTTACCAAGGATTTACCGAAGGAAAAAAAACGAAAGGGTGGTCCTGGAAAGAAACGGAAGTTCGAACCGATGTTCCTTGATTCGGAAACGGAGAAGAAGCGATGTTTAGATATTTTGGAAAAGGTCAAGAACAAGAAACCCGTGATTGATGTCAATGTTGCCGTGAACCAAGAAGCTACCGCCGAACACCTTCAGTAAGGATGCATGTTGCCATTCTGAAAATCTACATTTTATTGTTGAATTTTCTTTTTGACCTTACAATTAAGAACAGACGAAGAATTTTATAGAAAGAGGAAGTTTTTATGCATTGAAGTGTGAATATTGTATGTAAGAAACGGTGTCGGATCCACCTGAGAGACAAGATCCTTTAGAGTCCACCCAAATATTCGTTTGAGATCTTGATTTCGCTCGACTTTTTTGTTGTTAACGAAACTTCAAGATGATTGATGGATCAAGTCTGATCACAACCGTGATTTTTCTGCGAATGTATTGCTCGAAAATGTCGGGTGGATGTAGTTCTTCGTGAAATATGACGCACAAAAGCTGCGCCGAACATAAATTTTGTCCAATGGTTCAATATTGAATTACCGAATTGATGATCATTCAATCGTTTCTTTTTCTTTACAGGAATGCTGCCGAAAAACGAGCTGGACGAAGGAAGAAAGGCAGCAAGAAAACTAGCCAAGGAGCCCCGAAGCACGTTAACATGAAGAAAGCGGTGAAAAAAGCGAGAGTGATCCTGGCTGGCAAAAATGCTAAAGGGAAACGTGGAAAGAAATAGTTTCAATGTGTTTTCTTTTTCTTTCCGAAGCATTCAACTGAAAAAAATGATTTTTGAAATTCGGCTTGGAAATGGTCCGCTTTTCAAATGTTTGCCACGATGTTTGTCGAAGCGTAAGAAATGCTTGTTGATTGTGATGGAAATCTGCGGTTACCATTTATTCCTCTTTTTGATTTTCCTTCGTTGAATGAAATTCATGTGTTCTTCTGAAAATTCAAATTCGAGTAGCGTTGAAGCTAAAATAAAATTACGGCATGAGCCTGAATTTGAGACGCGCTTAACGTTTTGGTTCCATCAAGACGGAAATACGTCTCCTATCATGTGTTTTCAAAAACTCTTTATGATCGATCGACAATTATGTGCATTTTATCAATATTTCTTCGAACAGCTGAGGTGAGCTTGCACAAGAAAATGTAATGGGTAAAAATATGACATCCATTTCACGAGGAAAGAAATGTTCGAAGAATAAAATAAACGAAGTGCGTCACATATTTTCGTGAATAAGTTTTTGATTTGTTTGAGGTTAAACTGTATTCGTCAGTTCTGGAAAAATCATAAGATTCTCTATTTTTATCTTTCGTGGAAATCGTGCCTTCTCATTTTTCAGAAATCACTTAGTGTCTCAGGTTTTGACGGCGATGTCAATTGTCGCCGCAATATCCAGGAATGGGATTCTTCGCGTGTCTAGACCAATCCCTGGTGTTCATGCCCTAAAAGGTGTTCTTCATCCGAGTTGTGTTGGTGCGAAGAAGTTTTCAACCGACAGTTGGATTCAATGGCAAAGTGGAGTTTTTCGAAGTTTGTCAGAATCTACTTTGGTCACGGAGTGTCAAAGTGCACTCATTGGACTTCATCAAGTTACCGGTTTACCGTGGTGGGCGACGATTGTTGTGTCAACTCTTGCTATTCGAATGGTTGCGACGTTTCCTTTGAAAGTTTATCAGGTCAGATTCACTCACGTGACTTGTGCCATTATTTGTCTCGATTTTTGAGACCTGTCCCCATTCTTTATGTTCGTTTGGAGTGTTATTTCCGAGTCAAACCTCCGTAATTTAGATATTTCAGTTGATTTTCCCCTGGTCGATTCCCTCATGTCCAATACAATGTAGGCCTCCTGAACTAAATACACTGAGTCAGACCTCCATTAGTCGAATTTTTATGGCATATTTGTTTCTAAATTGGGGCTAAAACCTGTATAAAAAAAGCGAAAACATGTGTAATTATGCTCTCCACAAGCAAGTAGGCATTTATGCAGATGGGAAATCGCTGTGATGTTTGAAAAACTAAAATAATTTACCCAGAAAATAGTTTCAATTGATTAACATGCCGAACAAATTCTTGGAATTGAGAATTTTCTGGTTCAAACAACTTTTGAAATCCCTTCAAATTTGTCTTGGACAGGTACAATTGCAAGGTAGGGCTAAGCAAAAACGGAAGCTGTCAACTCAAAATTTTCCTTTCAATGAATTTATTTAATATTATCATACTTATTTCTGGTGCAAGTGTTTGTTGAAGAGAGTCAATGCCTGTGTTGATGGTCATGGAGAAGTTTTTTCATAGTCAAGTGCTCATGTTATTTTTTAATATTATTTCTGAAGGCCCATTTCCTTGCTGTTATAAAACCTGTATCAAGAGTTTATGGAGCTAACAGAAACTAATGTATGACTCCATTGACAGAGTTTTGAAAACATGTTCAAGTAAGTAACACCTATGAAGTTACAATGAAAATTTTCCAAGTGGCAGTCTTATTTAGGCTGATAATTCGATTTTCAGCCTTCGGCCTTCCTTCAGAAACATTGGCAGTATTTTGGTGTGCAGAATAATGAAAGTACAGTATCCCTATTTCCCACCTACAGCATTCCCGTTTTGATGGACCCCAGTAGGGAATGAGAATATCGTTACCCATGCCGTCGTTTTCATATAATATTGCAATTCAGTTTTCTGACTGCAATATTTTTGCAACTTTATGCACAGGGAATTTTTTTCGGCTTGGGACATGATTATTTTAAAGCAACAGAATTGAGAACTTTCTGGTTCAAACAACTTTTGAAATCCCTTCAAATTTGTCTTGGAGAGGTACTTTTACAAGGTAGGGCTAGGCAAAAAGAAAGCTGTCAACTCAAAATTTTCCTTTCAATGAATTTTTTTAATATTCTCATACTTCTTTCTGGTGCAAGTGTTTGTTGAAGAATGTCAATGCCTGTGTTGATGGTCATGGAGAAGTTTTTTCAAAGTCAAGTGCTCATGTTTTTTTAATATATTATTTCTAAAGGCCCATTTCCTTGCTGTTATAAAACCTGTATCAAGAGCTTATGGAGCTAACAGAAACTAATGTATAACTCCATTGACAGAGTTTTGAAAACCTGTTCAAGTAAGTAACACCTATGAAGTTACAATGAAAATTTTCCAAGTGGCAGTCTTATTTAGGCTGATAATTCGATTTTCAGCCTTCGGCCTTCCTTCAGAAACATTGGCAGTATTTTGGTGTGCAGAATAATGAAAGTATCCCTATTTCCCACCTACAGCATTCCCGTTTTGATGGACCCCAGTAGGGAATGAGAATAAAAAAAATTTGGAACTTGGACTTCATTTGTAGTTGAGTAAAGTACTTGTTAGTTTCCCCACCGTGGGAGTTTATGTCAACGGCCATACCACGTTGAAAGCACCCGTTCTCGTTCGATCACGGCAGTTAAGCAACGTTGGGCCCGGTTAGTACTTGGATGGGAGACCGCCTGGGAACACCGGGTGCTGTTGACTTTTGCAATTCGATTTTCAGCCTTTGGCCTTCCTTCAGAAACATTGGCAGTATTTTGGTGTGCAGAATAATGAAAGTATCCCTATTTCCCACCTACAGCATTCCCGTTTTGATGGACCCCAGTAGGGAATGAGAATAAGAAAAATTTGGAACTTGGACTTCATTTGTAGTTGAGTAAAGTACTTGTTAGTTTCCCCACCGTGCAAGTGTATGTCAACGGCCATACTACGTTGAAAGCACCCGTTCTCGTTCGATCACGGCAGTTAAGCAACGTTGGGCCCGGTTAGTACTTGGATGGGAGACCGCCTGGGAACACCGGGTGCTGTTGACTTTTGCCGCGGTTTTCAGTGAAGTTCGCATATATCCATAGCAATGGGTACGGCAGCAAAAGTATATTATAACGTTAAGTCAAAAGACTGACGTTATAAAAACGTTGAAATACGTGTCCCTTAAAAAAAGCCGAACCCTGTACTAATAAAATTTCGTTGTCTTAATAGTACAGTACATGAAAGCCATTCAGAAACTAATTAATTTCTTCAACTTTCGTTTGAGCCTGAATTTATTTCTCCGATTTGGAAGTATTTCTTCATCAGATATCAAGAAGTTCCTTAGAATATGTAATTTCTATTTTTGGAGGGGCCCGTTTATATTTTGCATGTGGATAATTCAAGAGTATGAAAACAAAATTTGAATTAAATTGGAATGCGCTGCACAATCAAAACTGTCCCTTGAATGTAACTTACATGTATGGAAGTTACGATTTATCATGCAGTTTATTGATGAACAAACGATTCTCGTAATCATTTCATTTAAACTAAAACATTTGTGCCGTTTGGTTCGTTGATTTAGAGCTTTTTTGTTCAAATTGAATTCTGGTTGAATTATAAATCAAGTAAAATGAATAAATTCCTCTTGATTAACTCGTTTTTTTCTGTTTAGACTCGTGTCTTGGCTCGGTATGAAAACCTTGGTCCCGAAATCCAATCCCTTAGCGAAGAACTCCGGAAAGAAACCGCCGTAGCTATCAAGAAATTTGGATGGGACAAAAAGCACGCCTTCAAAGTTTTCAATAAATCCGTGAGTTGACAAGATCCTACCTTTTTTTTTTAGTTCTGGACAGCTCATGTTGATTTCGACACGATTCTCTTCGCAGTTGAAAACGCAGATTTACAAGTTGGTTGTGCGGGATAATTGCCACCCGATGAAGGGCACCGTGTTGGTGTGGGTACAGATTCCCTTGTGGGTTTCAGTCTCTGTTGCTTGGAGGAACCTGGCTTTTGGGATGCCCGTGGGGTCTTTGGGTAAGTCTGAGAAACTCAAAACAATGTGTCTCTGAAAAATAGATCACGTATAATTTTTTTCCACCAAATTCATTGATGGGACCTACAAAAAAACCATGATTAAAAGAAAAATCAGATGCATTAATATTAATGGCAATAGAAAAAACTTTTTAAGTATTCTGCTGGGAGTTGAAAAATGTTGTGTGCAAATATTTCTTGCCAAGATTTGTTGTAGGAAATCTTGATACAGTACAATGTTTACAAAGCAATGGGGACCTGGAAACAAGTTGCTTTGATGATTAATATGTTGTACAGAAATTAAAGAAAAAATTGTTCTTTTGAAGCAAGAACTGTAATAAATTTAAGTACTTAATTGTCTTAATTTCCAAGAAAGTTCGAAGATTATCTCAAACGTCTTCAACATGTTTCATCTCCTTAATCTCTTCGTTGTTCTTTACTTGACAACCTATTAGTTTTTTTTAGTCATTTTCGTTTTGGTTAATTTAGGGGTTAGCATGACGTTTCCCCTTGAGAACAGCGCTAAGTTTTGTTTGTAAGAATGTCTCTCTATTTGCAAACAGTTTTGAAATGCATTTTTACCTGTTGATTCAATGGTTCACAGAAGCCAAGGCCAATATGGTCTCCCTCAGCCATGGAGGTGCCATGTGGTTCCCAAATCTTGTGGATGTGGATCACTCCTTCTTTCTGCCGGTGGCATTTGGACTGATCAATTTGATCATCCTCGAGGTGCGCTAAATTTCTAAATATATATATTTTTACAAATATTGACTGCTTTCTTCATGGATTTATATGTGCAAAATCAGGTGGAAACGGGTGGTCGGAAATCAGTGACTCCCTTGCAAAAACTCGGCAAGGGTGTCGGTCGAATTATGGCTATCGTCATGGTTCCTGTTGCTGCCATGATGCCATCCGTGAGTTTCTTGTTTAAAATGTTCGGTTTAACGAGTTGAGCCCCGGGTTTTCATCGAAAATTGATCCAATTTCAGTGCGTTACTTTGTATTGGGCGACATCTAGTCTAGCGGCTTTGATGCAAAATGTTGTGATAAAATATCCGCAAGTGAGGAGGGCGCTGGGTGTACCGAAGACGCCGTCAGAAAGCGAAACTCCGTTCAAAGACGTTTGGAATGGTTTGATGAAACCGTTCAATCCGCAAAATTTGGATCGTTAGCATTTTCTTCTCTTGAAGGTGAGTTATGGAATTTTATCGCTTTGCATGGAATCTGACAACTTCACGATCTGTTCAGTACTTCGGAGTTCTGAGATCAGATCGAGTAATTTCCGAGCATAAGTCCCAGCAGCAGTATGTGGACTTGAAGATACTCAGGGATAGAATCCATAAAACCGTACTCGTTCACGCATCAATGGAACGGTTCTTGTGTATGTTTGAAATTACGCACTTATTTCTGAGGCAGTATTTACCTTGAGTAAAGACTACATTACAGCACGAACGGCATGTGCTGGAAATAATTTAATACCAGTTGACCTATTATAATAAAACGTATTCATTTTGTCAGGAAAACAATATACTTAATTAATTCGTCATGTACAGTGAAAAAGTGTTTTTGAATAAATGTGGAAAAGACAAAAAGGAAAAATGTGCTCTGGTTTTGAATTAAATCACAGAAGAGAAACTTTTATTGATGAAAACATGAAATCATCGGGCTAGTTTTAAAATTTCAATCCAAATACTTCCGTAATTTCTTCCCTCTTTCTCAACGAAAATCACAGAATCTTTTGAAAATGGTTCAAAATTTTTTTCTGAAGTTTTATTTTGACTTTTTTACATTATAACCTATTTTTGACAAGTGAAAAAATGACCTGCATCGCAGTAAATGCGGTTTCGTTCTTAAGAAAAAAATAGCATCAAACTAGATCGAATGCTACGAAGACTGCTTCGTTAGTGTTTTCAAAAATCATGTACGCTTTATATAGGGTTTTTTCTGATTATAGTGATATTTAGCTGGAGTTAATTGGAGGCAAATTATTTTCCCGAGTTTCTCACTGCAGTCAAATTCAAACTTCGGCGCAACTGCAGGTGCGAGTTAATTATCTTTCTATATATACATAGGGATGACTCAAAAGTTTGTCAAAAGAAGTTGTTTGTGTACCGTGCCCAAAGTTTCTAGTCCCAAAGGGCTCTAAAACAGTGTGAAATCAATTACTTGGTAATGTACAATGTACATTCTTATCATTAGTTATGTAATAATAAGTTATTTCTGTCTCCTTATTCTGCAGTTTTTATTCCTTCGCCACGTCGATTTGAAGCATGGCCTTGGTTTTTTGTTGAAGATTTTCATCCAGTTGACAGGCGATTTTTATCGCACCGATTTAGATTTTCCAATAAAATCACGAACGAAAATATCTTTGAGATTGAAACCCGTTTATGTACTTTCTCAGATCTGAAACATTTCTCAAAGATTAAATTTGCAAGTATTTTCGATTTCAGGTGCCACTTCGCGTGAAATTTCATAAAATGCGCAAGTGTGGCTATGTAAGAACATATTCTGAGGTCTGTTATAATTACAATGCAGCAATTAAAATATATTTTCTCTGTGAATATAATGCGAAATTTATTGCATGCAAAACGAATCAACCGTGAGCATCACAAGACTTGAAAATTGCAAATGAACTCTCACCCTCGTGTATAATTCATTTTTTACATATTGTAGATGATATTGCCTGTATGAAAATTTCCTTAAAGAAGCCCAAACATTTTCAATCGTTTTTGCGTCACATGAGACATTTAAAATGGGTACCCCGTTCAACGAAAATAATTCATGCCAGAGCTACGTTCGTTGTATGATATGTTCGTACTATGAACTACGATTTCCCATAAATTCGCGTGGGAAATCGTTTAATTCGTTCCACAAAAAAATCAAAAATGGGGGGGGGGGGGGGTTTAATGTTGAACACTTTTATTATGGTTTATGGAAAATTAATAAAATTGCGAAAAAAATCATACCCAAATAACTCTGTGAGAATAAACATTCTCGTGTTACAGAAAATAAAAACGCAAGTCTAATGGGGATTCCAAAACAAAACCAAAAATTCTCGAAAACATCCACTTGAGGAAGTGTGAAGTGCAGCTTCAATGCATGAAGTCTTCTGAAAAAAAGTGGTTGAAAAAAAGGATTTCAAATCGATTTACAGTTTTTTTTTAAATGTATTGTGTTTAAAAATTTTGGTCGATTGCTATGAACAATCGTTTGATGCTGATGAATCTTGGGTTTGTAAAAATTTTCAGAAAACGTTTTCAACGAGCGCAACCTGAAAATTTGCATTTATGACCGCTGGGAAGGGATTTGCGATTTTTTAGAACTTATGAAGCCCCCCTCGTATCTCAAACTCAACAAATCTTTCAAAAATTAATCGCTGATGAATTTACAAAAGTTTTTTTTCGATATATACGACGAAATTTTGAGTTTTCGTCTTGTATAAAAACCTTTCTTCTGCCACTCGATATCATCAGTCGATTGAAGTTTCCATAAGTGCTAACATTATGAGGGACTCCGGGACGAAAGCCTTGATTTTCCTGCTTCTCTCAGGTGAGGATTATTCTTCATTTATTCAAATCTCTACAGTGAAGGGTATGGGTTGAAAATTATTCTCGCTTATGTCAAAAGCTAATGTTTTTTGTTTCTCCCAATTTTCCGCAAATGGATGCTGAATACTAGACTTTTGTATTCGCTGTATTCCAAAATTTGATATTTTCCAGTTTGACAACGTCATTTGTGATAGTGTTTGACAATGTTTGTAAATAAAACAATTTTTGTAATAAAAAAAATGATATGCGCATGCTGAAGTCTGAATTTGAGGTCGCAATTTCCACGTGTGTTGACCGGGATAAAATTTAAAAAATAAGAAAAACTCAGATTCAATTACTATTCAAACTTATTTGTGTATAATCTGTATATCATTGAATTCAAATTCAGCAAAATCCAAGCGTTTGTTATCATTGACATTCGTAATTGCTCCACATTTCAGGCATGTTTTGAAATTTAAAAAAACCTCGCAAAATCATTCCAATTCCGGAGAATCGAAATACCACAATAAATTTCACGAAAGTGATCAAAGGGTAAATTTCCGGAAATTTATCTGAATCTCAGTCATGTGCGGAAATTCATTTTCCATATTTAAAAAGTTAGAGAGTTTTATGATAATCGTCGAAAATGTTCTCTTACAAATAAGGCCTCTTACTGTTGATTGACACTGTGCAGAACCTCGAGAAATTTTTGAGATCAAAGAAAAAAGACCTTTCTTAATTTTTGTGGTGGATTATGGCAGAAGTGCGGGTAATTATTTCGACTCATCATGCTCGTAATCATTGATGTTTTTCGCTTGATGTATTTTCTCTTAAAAAAAAAAAGGTCCTTAGTGGTGACCTAAACTCAGGCGCAAAAAGCGGGGATGCCTTTGATCAGGATTACGTAGGTGTTCGGTGCTTTCGTGCTGCGGTTCGCGGTCACGAAGTTGTCGCTGTAGAGCTTCAAACGGGAACCATATCCCAGAGTTAGTTTCCGGTCCTGTTCACAAGATGTCGCAGGAACAAGAAGACCTGATCGTCTTACTCCGCGAATCCGCGCATCACTTGGCCGAAGCCGTCATCTTGTTCAACAACACCCTGGACTCGATGGTCAATGCTACTATCCACAATGACACCCGAGCCAAAAGGTCCCCGAAAGATGCCAGTGATGGCACTTCTTCTTCGTCTTCGGAAGAGCTGGAAGAAGAAAAGGCTATTTACAATGCCGGGGTCCAGAAGATTGCGAAAAACCCAGTGGGTCACATGGTGGAACCCAAGTCCGCGGAAAAGGTTGTTCGAAGGAGGAACAAGAGGGAAGATCATCACGGAGAACCGTTTGAGTTCTCCTTCCTTTCCAACGTGTTGAACTTGATGGGGGATAATGTGAAGCAGATGCATGACCTAGTCAAACTATTCAACAGGTATATAAAATATTGACCGATACAAAAAGAAATTTGGTACTTTCGACAATTTGTTGGGATGAGAAAGTGACTCACAGAAAAAAACCCACAGTTTTGAGCGTCAAATGCATAAATAAGAGCAAGTTTTGACGTAAAACTTTGAATTTCTTTTAAAGAATTGAGTTAAATGAGATAACAATGGTTTATGAAATTTTTCAAAGAATCGAGGAATTTTTTTTAAGAATTTAGGTAAATTAAATAAAAGGGACATACTCTTCCTGTTTTTTAAATTTGTGAATTTAAGAAAGTTATGGGAATAGATTTTTCAAGATTACTTGCGTTTCAACGTCACAATTTCATACAGAAAACTTTCAAAAATACTCAGTTTGTTAGGCTTAATTTGGTCCTTTTTTGGAAGTGTCTGGAACAGATCAAGTATTTATCAAGTGTAACTTGAGGGAAATTCATCTTGCACTCGACCAAAGATCTGCAGAAAATATTGCACCCATTAGTTTAGTTATATGCAGGGGTGCTCTTTGTGTAAAACCCTTGTGAATTTCTTTTTTGCATCTGGTTCTTGAAATAATCCACGTTTTTTTATGCTAATACCCATATGGGCTGAATTTATGGGTTAGTGTTGCAAAACTGAATTTTCTGTGATTCAATTGCATAATCCCATTTGACAAATCTTTTATTTTGAAATATAAAAATCATCTATGCACCAAGCTTTTTTTTTTTAATCAAAAACATTAATTTGTCAATATCGTGAGCGTTAATATTCCACAGCATGCATTTTTATCCCTTTTTATTTAATTCTTAACTCGAATTTTCCGAAAGCACCGTGAAAAACGGGAAACCCAGGCAAAAGCGTCAGGCCTTTATGCCCTCTGTTGGCCTGGGGGCAATTGAAAAACTCATGGATGGCCTCAACATGGCCGCGGGCGGTGGCATGATGAACCCAACTGAGCGTGAGAAGGAGAATATTCGAAGGGGTTACAAGGATGCTCTGGCCCAAGTGGGTCGGATAGTCCCACGAGAGACAAATCCTGCACCAGCACCCAGGTTGCCGGCTGATAATAGAGTGGAATCCGAGGAACCCACGGATGGGGAGACCAGGAGAAGACGACCCACGGGAAGACCTGCTTCTCGCAGGCGTTCAAAGTCGGATAGTAGGATGAGACAACAGCGCAGGAACAGGTATGTGTTTATTTGAGCGCGGAACACAAATGAGCTTTCCTTGCTCATATACAACCTGAGCACCATAAACAATTAAGTGAAGTCCACCTGAATAATGATGGAATTGATCCAAATCTGTACAGGGAAGTCAATTATTACAAGTACAGTATTGTACAGTACAGTACTGTCAAACATCCTTTAGTCAAACTCAGAGAGACCCACAGAAGAATTTACTTAGAAAGTTTCCAAGCTTGAGAAACCACTATTTTTGGTAAAGAAAAATGGAGAGTTTATTACAAACTTTTTTTCTTGAAAACTTATTTAGCTGGAGATTTTGAGTCATCCTTGCATGAATTTAAAGGTTGGCAAGACTTTTGATAACTGCAAGTTTTGTTGGTCAAAACGTCTGTTTATTTGCAAAGAATTGATGGAATGCACAAACATTCAGCTGATATATATGCTCTGAACACAAATGCTTAATAAATGGATATGAAGACAAATTTATTTCAAGTTGAACTCAAAGGGACCCACAAAAATGGGCTTTGAGAGTTTCAAAGTTTTAAGGAAGCAAGTTTTTTTTTTCAATTGTGGAAAATGAAAAATCATGCAGCAGTGAAAAGTTGGTGCCATTTCATTTGTCATCAAACTGCTGCTGGACAAAAGGGTTGATTGGATCCTGAACTTGTATGCAAGGGTACATTTGTCCAATTAGCCACCCACTTGCTTTTGTAAAGCATCAAGTTAAAATTTTATCGCAATTCACCTTCCTGGGGAATTCATCCTTAGAATAATAGCCCAAAGGCCTCAACAATTTGAGTAATAGAGGTTTGAGGGGGAAGTTCTCAAGGTAATTCTGCAAAGGGTCTAAAAATATTACTTGTGGGAGTTTTCAACCATAGGATATTTGATACACCAATGTCCAACTGTAATTTAAAGCTGAAGAAGAACTGTGGTGATTCTTGATCTCCCAAAAGATTACCAAATATGAGTATATTTAAGGTGCATCCATTCTTGGATTCCTTTAAAATTTATTTATTCAATTCTTGATTACTGTGTCAGAAAAATGTGTCTTCTCCAGCTAACAAACACCCTTGTCCAGTGGCTATCTAAACATTCATTCAAAAAAGTTTCCCTCTGGAAAGCATTAAAATTGTCTCTGAGAAGCAACATGTACACCTTAAAAATGTTTCCAGCTATCAAACATGTCCATAGAAGAATGTTTGTGTTTCTTAGCCAAGATCCCTTTGTACATTTGATTTTAATGATATAGGATATCAGCAGAATATCCTGGAGTGAAGAGAACACAATCAGTAATGTAATAAAGTTTTTATCTGTTACAAAAAAGTATGGTGGGAACCACACTTTCCCACAGAAACTTCAGTCTCTTTTATATTATTGGTTTTCATGCTGTATATTTTCCAAAACAGGATTCATTATCCAGAGTAATAAAATCAGTGGCAGTATAAGTAAAAAAGTATTGGATAAAGTGCCCATATACTATTAAATTTTCAAGGTCTTGTAGAATAGTAATGCTGTTTCAAAAAGCAAGGTTTCCATTTAAAGTTGTGTACATTACATGACCTAATTAGATTTGAGGCCCCTTGAATTTCCTGCTCCAAGTCTTCCAGTAAGCAATAATTGAAATTGCCAAAATTATTGTTTTCCTCCATGAATATAAGTTCAAGAATCAATTCTGCTCAATTTCAGTCATACAAAAGATTGCATTATTCACCAGTAATTTGCAGTGAAAATCTTAACAAAAGTGTTCATCTTTAATTACGCTAGTGTACTTCTCTGTGTTCTGATACATTATCAATTATAATAACATTCTTTCAAAAATCCTGGCAAAATAATTGTCGCGTTCTTGTGGACTCCTCACTCTCATATAATACAGGTTAGGTTTGATTTTAAATCGCTTTAGAACGCAAAGGCGCCACCAAAATCGGAGTAGCCGTCGTTATTCTGACAACAGAGATCAGCAGGAAGAGGAAAATCGGCCACGTCGTAAAAAATATAGAGGCGATGACGAAGAAGAAGGAGGAAATGCTGGCGAAGAAGATGAAGGCCCTGCTGTTGAAGAAGATGAAGGCACTGATGGTGAAACGGGCCGGGATCGTCTTCGAAGCAGAAAGTAACCTGGATGATGTCATTTCGAAAAACTGCTGAACGTCTTTGACTGTGCGAAAATATATGCGTGAATTATGAACTGCAACTTGTTGTATTCATGTTATTATACATTAGTATAGCAACAACAACAAAATACATTGGGGTGATGAAACAATTGATAATCCGTCCCAGCTTTGATTTAGTTCAACCTTTGATTTAGTTCCCCTGATTTAGTGCCACAAATTTCCCCAACACAGATCTCCCTCCATTATGTTCTTATAAAGGGGAACCCCGATTTAGTGCCAACTCACGTAGTGCCACAAGAAATATCTGTCCTGTTTTTAAAAAATTGGGCAGAAATTGAAGTAATCTAGGCATTTTCCAAGGATATCATTTAATTATAATACTTTTGACTGAGAATTACTGTATTTACTGGAGTACCAAGTGCACCTTTTTTCTGGAATTTCAGAAGAAAAGAAGGGGTGCACGTCATGAGCTGGTACAAATTTTTCAAGAAGTTTTAGAAATTTGTATGTGCATTATACTTAATCATAATGGAGACATTTGGAAAAAAAGTGACAAGAAGACTGTTTTGTACTGAAAAAGTTGAAAATTGGTCAGATTTTTGTTAAATTCATGCCTAAAGTCAAACTTTTTGTTTCTATTTTCAAAATTTTGTGGTTTTAGATTTACTAAAAAGTGGGGTGCGAGTCATACTCAGGGATAAGATTTTAGCCAAATTTCCAACTAAAAAAACCCTGTGCGCGCCTTACTCAAGGGCGTGTGGTACTCAAGTAAATACGGTACATCCCCATGCTGACATAAAACTTTGGATCAGTGGGAAAAATCTATTTTTGAATTGATATTATTGCAATTTTTTGCATGTTACCCTTGCTAATTGAATGCAGAAAAAAGTGGAAGCTTTTGCAGAAAGGGTTTGTCATATTGACATGAATGTAGAACTATATATGCTGTATTTTTTTAAAGTGTGTTTTTTTCAAAATTTTGAATCTGAATAATAATGACATGCTCAACTCTCATGGTGCAGTATATAGTTGCTAATGCAGATGTTTGTGACTGCTGCAGCGAAAATGCTTTGAAATCATTTGTAAATCGCCAATGTTACAGCATCAAACTTCAAGTTTCATTCAACAACCAACAGCAGCAAAATTGCATTTGGTAACTTCAGGTTCAAAACAAGCTCTGGTGTACAAAATTTTCAAACTTTCGCATAATATACATCAGGATCGCATTTGCAGAGAATTTTCAACTCATTCAAATTTGAACACTATAGAAATAAGACGATGTTTATATACATCAAAGTATAAAATTTACATGCTGAGATTTCTAGTCTTTTCATCCAATAGAAAATTTTCTTGCGAAATAAAAATAAACTCCCTGGAAGCAATTTTTTTTGCTTCAAGTGATGACGAAAAAAATGATCAAAAGAAAAATAGTCAAGATCTGCAGAATTTCTGTTGTTTGCCGACGAAGAGTTTTTTTTTCTTCTGACGACTCGACTTTAGTTTGATTTTGTAAAAATTGTTGTTCTATGCACAACTCAGGCAAGGAAGTATCACAATGCGATTTTATTTTATTTTTGATGATCTTTTGTGTCACTTGGGCTTGCGACGTTTTCCATCGACATTCAGGACTCTGCGAAGGCCGTAGAACTGGTTGAATGCGTCGTCAAACTGCGAGAATTGAGCATCTGAAAAATATGAAACCGAATGTCAATTATAAATTTGGGAAAATAAATATTAATACACTCTTTAAATGCTAAGAGGGGTTACACGTTTCCGCGCGGACTCGTTTTGGGGCGGACTCGAAATAATAAAAAATCCCCACCCCCAGGGATTAAAAATTGTTTTTCTCCTGTTCGCTAGTTCCAATCAAGAGGCTAGGCAGAAACCTTCTGAATGTCACCCCTAATTTCTATGCACTTTCCAGCTCTTTTGATCCATACCTTGAAACAGACCTTGAAATGTTCAATTGTTCAATTTGGAAGCTTCCCCTTAGCAACAGTAATAAGCTGATCCGTGCGGAACCGTGTAACCCCTGGTATATACTGTACATTATGCGAGGGTTCTAACAAAAGTTCTCGGAGTAGCAATGAAAATGGCATACAATTGAGCTGAAAAAAATTTATTCTCTAGCCAAAAAATATTCTTTGGCACACACAAAAAATCAGCCCGGTTTGACAATTTTTAAAGATTTTTTTGCAAAATTCAGGAGTAGCAATGAAAATGGCATACAATTAAGCTGAAAAAAATTTATTCTCTAGCCAAAAAATATTCTTTGGCACACACAAAAAATCAGCCCGGTTTGACAATTTTTAAAGATTTTTTTGCAAAATTCATCCAAATAGAGTTTTGCTCTCCACTCAAAAAAATGAGGCGCCCTTTTTGTTGTAGCCCAGCTTTCCCCTCAGAATTTTTGAAATCAACTTGGCATTCGTTCTAAGGGTTGCCTCCAGGTCATTCAAGGCAATTCCGCCATTTTCATCAACAGCCGCCTTCAGTAAGGGCCCCCTATCGGAATCCCTTAGAGCGACATCTATACCCACGAACTAAGAAATACTTTAGTCTGATCAGTTTACCCACCCAAGCTTGTCTAGCAGGAAGTTGGCTATCTTGATCGGAGGAGATGCGGAGAGGACCCGGACATTGGGACTTCACTTCGCTCTTGACCTTTGATGAGCTGACATTAATTTTTATTGTGTGCAATCTCTGACTTGACTTTGTGTGTGTGTTCCTGCCATCTGAACGGAGTCACCGTGAATAAAGACTCTGTGTAAAACTGTGCCCTGGCGGAAGACTTTATTACGAATCCTTACTGGGGGCTCGTCCAGCTTTTTGCCGATCCAGCCAGTGGCACTGAGATGGTACGGAACACGGAGAATTCAAGAGCTGCGGCACTTCCATACGTGCCACCCGCACCCGTGTCAGATACACCAGCGCCCCCGGGCAATGCTGAAACCGAATCCACGGACCACGGGACTCCAGCCACATCGCGGAGCCATCCGCCCCCGACATCCACGCCCGGTACGTGTAGTTCATGGGACAGCGTTCCGCTGCCCACGTTGCAATACTTGTCTGAGGCATACCGTCTTGGAGCTCCAACTGGCGCAGACCGACAGGCGTACGTCTCTCTCCTGGAACAAAACATGATCCCGGCGTCACTAGCGCAGGGCTGGATTCCACCACCAGGATGGCATCTTTGCCCTCTGGACCTGCAGATCGCCACATGGTCACCTGTTCATCACCAGGAGATCATTGTCGCCCACCCGCCAGCTACGCCCCAGCCACCGGTATTCCCCTCCTATCGTCAACCAGGCAAACCGCAATTGTCCGACATGCCCCGTCAACGGGACAACAAATTGTTCGAGGACTACGCGGATCACCTACGCCGACTTCCAGCAATCAACAATGTGACGGCAGACATGAAGGTATGGTGCTTGCTGAACAAAACCCACAGCCTCGTCAGGGAAACCGCATCAATCTTGTACGGACGCGGTACCGTGGACTTCAAGGACCTCGTTGCAGCAATCGCCCTGTCCCACCCCACCCCACACCTCGATCGCTTGGACCGGTTCCGGCTACTTTGCCCGCAAAATGGCAAAAGCTACGTCAGCTTTGGGGGACGACTGGAGCATACGTTCGATTCCTTTTTGGCTCCTCCACAGCAAACCGTTTCAACCGACTGTATCTGGCACAAGATGCTTATCGAGCAGCTTATCCTAGCAACCCCAACCGGACTGCAGGACGAGTTAAGACGGAAATGGATCGATAACCGCAACTGGACCTGGGCGGAAGCTGTGACCGAGGCCGAGAGATACAGGCTCCATCACCACGCAACCACCCGCGGTGGAACCAGTTCGCAACCATCTTCCAAGCAGCCGTCAAACAACCCTCGACCGCAGCGACAATGGTGCGAGGCACATCAGGCGCACGTGAGGCATTCCCCCCAGGAGTGCCAAATTCTCCTCCGGCAGCAGGCTCTATCGCAACCACAGAACACCAAAGCGACCGCATCAACGGGGCAACAGCGCACGGGGCAGAGCAGCACAAATCATCCTGCTCCTAATCAAGAGCAGCATTGCTTCCACTGCCAAGCTCCGGGGCATATAGCCAAATACTGCCCACTCGCGCTTCAGGGAAACGGACGTCCGCCACAGTGAACGCGGCACACTGTGTGGATAGCGATCTCGCCGCACCTCCACCAATCATCCTGCCACTCCAGGTTAGAGACGTTGTAATTCCTGCCCTAGTCGATACAGGTGCATCCCACGCCTTTATAGCCCAGCACCTCGTTGAGTCCCTTAAGCTCACCCCCCGACCCTGCTCGGTTCAATCATCCTGCCACTCCAGGTTAGAGACGTTGTAATTCCTGCCCTAGTCGATACAGGTGCATCCCACGCCTTTATAGCCCAGCACCTCGTTGAGTCCCTTAAGCTCACCCCCCGACCCTGCTCGGTTCACGTGTTAACGGCTCTCACTCCCGAGTCAGCCAAAGTAGTTCAGCAGGTCGTACTTGAGTTTGTCTTTCGCGGTTTGCAATATTCCATTCCTTTCTTAATACTCCCTCATCTCTCAGATCCCCCGATCTTGCTCGGCCGTACTGCGCTTCGCCATTTCCCTCTCGCGCTGACAATAGACGGCGATCGTGCGTTCGTCGGATTTCAACGCAGCATCCAGAATTGCGCGGCTCCCACCCTCGCGATCGGTGAAGGTATTTCATTTATCGACGGCGAGACTCGAGAACGTGAACAGATCACCGCCTTGCTGGTGCGCCACGCAGACCTGTTTCATCAGTGGTCTGGCAGACGTGGATTTTTTCCAGAGCATACCGTAACTCTTAAGGCGACTAGTGACAAAATTCCCAACACGCGCTCATTTCGCCAATCAACGGAAATGAACTCCCTTTTTGCGACTCTTGTGGACGAGTATATAGAAGCCGGGATAATAGAACCCGCTTCCTCGCCCTACAACTCGCCGGCATTTCTAACGGGGAAGAAGAATTCCGACCCTCAGGCCCCTCCTCACCGCCACTGGCGTTTGGTGGAAAATTACCAGGGCATCAATGACATACTGGCAGATGACCGGT